TATCAATACGTTTAGTAAAATTAATTTTAAACACTGTTTTAAACGGTATTAATAGTTTGATCTCGAGTTTGATAGTGATCTAACCTTTAACGTATTCACAGAGAGCYGACTTGGGGGTCTGTGATTTAACAATTACTCATGAAAGAAGGTCTGCTGTGGATTTTACCATGCCTTTTATGAACTTGGGTAAGTTGTGTGCTTTAAACCATCCTGTAGAAATGYTTATATATTTTATGCAGGTATCAGCATATTGTTCAGTAAACCAGAAGAACCCCAAACCAATCTTTTTTCATTCACCCAACCACTTTCCTTTCAAGTATGGATATTTACAGCAACCGCTTATTTAGGCCTATCCCTGGTATTATTTTTTTTGGCCAGGTAGATAACTTTAAATTCTATAGTTATTACTCAAGTATAATATATCAGTTACACTATTTAATTATTTATAGAATCACACCAAATGAATGGCAGAACCCTCACCCGTGCAATCCTCGTCCAGAAGAATTAGAAAACTCTCTATCATTGCTCAACTGTTTATGGTTTTCAATGGGTTCCATTCTCTGTCAAGGAAGCGATATTCTGCCTAGGTAAATCTTACTTACAATTTAAAACGATATTAATAAAAATAATTGGCATTACTTTTAAAATTTCAGAGCGTTTCCAACCAGATTATGTGCTGCTATGTGGTGGTTCTTTGCTCTTATTATGACTCAATCTTACACTGCTAACTGGACGGCATTTTTAACATCGAATCGGATGGAAACAACTATAAAGAATGTAGAAGATCTTGACAAAAAGGGAGGAACAGAAGGTATCAAATATGGATGTGTAACCGATCAATCTACAGCCAGTTTCTTTCAAGTAGGTGCACACATATTTATTCGCTAGTAATACTATTTACAATTAAATCTTCTAATAAAAATATTAGTAATTATTAATTTGTAATTGGATCATTAAATTATTTATATATTTATATATGTATCTATTTAAACAATGTTCTTGGATATTTATTTTAATACATTAAATTTGATATTTAAATGTTGAGAACAATTTTTGTTGGAATGTTGCACATTATTTTTTTATGATAAGATAAATGATAACGCACACTCATTTTTCGACAAAATCGATTTTGGTTTTTGAT